AAAAATTTGCCCCAAATCCGATCAAAATTTGGCGATTTCGCCTCAGAATGGAGGCGGATTTGCATAAGGGAGGTCCTGGAAGGTCACAAAAAAAAAAAAAAACCCAAAATTCCTTTTAAAATTCCAAAAAAAATCAAAAAATTCCCCCAAATTCCAAATTTCCAAATTTTGCCCAAAATCCCCAAAATTTACCCCAAAATTTGTGCCAGAATTCCCAAAATTTCGCCTTAAAGGTCCTGGAAGGTCACAAAAAAACCCCTAAAAATCCTCAGAAAAACCAAAAAATTCCTTAAAAAATTCTGAAAAATTCCCCCAAAATTTCCAAAAACTCCCAAAAAATTAAAATTTCCAAAATTTCTCCAAAATTCCCCAAATTTACCCCAAAATTTGTGCCAAAATTCCCCAAATTTCGCCTTAAAGTGTCCTGGAAAGTCACAAAAATCCTCAAAATCCTTAAAAAAATCCTAAAAATGCCTTAAAAAAATTCCCCAAAATTTCCAAAATTCCCAAAAATTCAAAATTTTCAAATTTTGCCCAAAATCCCCCAAATTTCCCCCCAAATTTCCATTTAAAAGGTCCTGGAAGGTCACAAAAAAACCCAAAAATCCTTTAAAAAAAACCCAAAAATTCCTTTAAAAATTCTGAAAAAATCCCCAAATATCCCAAAAATTCAAATTTTTCCAAATTTTGCCCAAAATCCCCCAAATTGACCCCAAAATTTATTTCAGAATGCCTCAAATTTCCCTTTAAAAGGTCCTGGAAGGTCACAAAAAAACCCCCTTAAAATCCTTAAAAAAACCCCAAAAATTCCTCAAAAAAATTCCAAAAAAATTCCAAAAAAATTCCCAAAAATCCCAAAAATTCAATTTTTTCCAAATTTTGCCCCAAATCCCCCAAATTTACCCCAAAATTTATTTCAGAATTCCTCAAATTTCCGTTTAAAAGGTCCTGGAAGGTCACAAAAAAACCCCTTAAAATCCTTAAAAAAACCCCAAAAATTCCTCAAAAAAATTCCAAAAAAATTCCCAAAAATCCCCAAAATTCAATTTTTTCCAAATTTTACCCAAAATCCCCCAAATTTGCCCCAAATTCTCACCAATTCCTTCAGGAGTTTCTCAGGGGGGAGTCCCTGGGCCAGAGCATCCAGGACCTGGAAAGAGAAAAAAAAATTTTGGGTGAAAATCTCCCAAATTTGGGCNACCAGTATGGACCGGTATAAACCAGTATGGACCAGTATAGACCAGTATGGACCAGTATGGACCAGTATGGACCAGTATGGACTCCCAGTAACCCCAAACCCATCCCAGTCCATCCCAGTTCCCTCCCAGTCCATCCCAGTCCATCCCAGTTTATCCCAGTTTATCCCAGTCCCTCCCAGTTTATCCCACCTGCAGTTCCTCTCTCAGCTCCCTCAGCGCCGCGGCCGCCGCTCCCCTCACGGCGCCCTCGGGGTCTCCCAGGCCCCCCCGCAGGGCCCCCAAAACCGGGCCCAGGAACCTGCGGGGGGGGCCACGCCCACAGCCCTTAAACCCCACCCACATATCCATAAAAGGCTTGAAGCCCCGCCCACAACTCCTTTTAAAGACAGAAACCCCGCCCACATCTCCTTAAACCCCGCCCATCAACCCCTAAAAGGCCGAAACCACGCCCACAACCCCCCTTAAAAGGCTTTAGACCCCGCCCTCATTTCAACCCCGCCCACAGCTCCTTATGAGGCATGAAACCCCGCCCACAGCTCTTAGGCCCCGCCCACAGACCCCAAACCCCATAAAAGGCAGAAACCCCGCCCACAAACCCTAAACCCCGCCCATTTCCCCCCCATAGCAGGCACAAACCCCGCCCATTTTGTCCATATAAGGTGAGACCACGCCCCTCCCCGCTCACCGCTGCCGCAGGGCGGAGCCGCAGCCCCGCGCAAGCGCAGCCAGCGCCAGCAGCGCCCCCTTCCGGCCTCCCGCGCATGCGCCTCGGGCCGGCCCTTCCAGCAGCGGAAACTTCCGGGTTAGGCCGGAAGTCAAAAATCGGGCGGGGGAAGGGGAGAAAAAAAAGGGAAAAAAGAGCGAAAGTCAGCGCGGCGAGGTAGGAAATGTGGAAAAATCGGCATAAAACGACCCAAAATCGGCATAAAATGACCCAAAATCGGCAAAAATGACCCAAAATTTACTTAAAATGACGCAAAATCGGCACGAAATGACCCAAAAATGACCCAAAATGACCCCAAATTGGCCGAAAATGTCCCAAAATTTACATAAAATCACCCAAAAATCAGCAAAAAGCGGCACAAAAATTCGTAAAATTTAAAAATTTGCCCCAAATCCGATCAAAATTTGGCGATTTCGCCTCAGAATGGAGGCGGATTTGCATAAGGGAGGTCCTGGAAGGTCACAAAAAAAA